CCAGGAGTGTGCATTACATAATCAAAACTAGCAAATAACTTGGTAGATAATGCAGCCAACCCAGTATACCAGTCCAACCAGGAGTGTGCATTACATAATCAAAACTGGCAAATAACTTAGTAAGTAATGCAGTCAACCCAGTGTACCGGTCCAACCAGGAGTGTGCATTACATAATCAAAACTAGCAAATACCTTGGTAAGTAATGCAGCCAACCCAGTTTACCGGTCCAACCAGGAGTGTGCATTGTAATGAAATAGAAATTTAAAATAATTAGAATGTATTGTTTTGTTTTATCAGTTGGATATCCTCTCTGTTATCTGTATTTTTAGTCATAATTTCTAATATCTCGCAAGGTTTCGCCAGCTTAAGAGATTTAGGTTAGTTCTAAATTAGTATACTAACAATGCAGACTCTTTGTAAGTAGGAAATATATATATATATTGAACATTTTATCTAATACTATTAATAAAGCCCCCAGTGGCACAGCAGTATGTCTGTGGACTTACAATGCTAGAAACCGGGTTTCGATGCCCGTGGTGGGCAGAGCACAGATAGCCCTCGCGTAGCTTTGTGCATAATTAAAAAACAAACAAACAAAACTGTTAATAAAATAAAATAAACTAAAGTAAGAATGAATATAAATTTACTTAAGATGCGTAAAAGCTAATAGTTTGCTTCATGTACTAACACCGATTCTCTGTTCATAGAAAAGCATAACATTGTTCTATGAAAAATTTTATAGAGTTCTAAGCAACTAAGTCTTGTGACCAGTAAAGTTTTATTAACTGACTCTGAGAGTGTGACTAGATTTGTGTAACATTCATCTTACAAATACAAATATCCAAAATAAGTGACGTTTAACACAATTTTTATTATTTACGCAGTATATTAGATACAATAAAATGTATTCTTCTGATATTACAAGGTTTTGTGGACAGAGCTCATAAACTCATTCTCATTTTTCACAAACGAGGTTTCTCCTATCACATTTGGAAGACCAAATTCATTAAATTTTGTAAGAATTTCATCCATCTCCTTGCTACCTGTTATGGGTTAAAAGTTTTACAGAATATCACGATTTTTCCAAAACTTTCATTTCTACTCTCTAATTTCTTAAAAATGGTTTAAAGTAATAATTAATCATTGTAGTATAGTGCCTACCATTGTTCATAACTCTTGTTAGTTTAACTGTAGCTACTACAAGCTACATAAATGTTCTGTATATAGTATAACATTGTGTCATTAGTTAAGTTAAATTATTTTTGATAATTACTGTAATGGTTTTATTTACCATTGCTGTTATTTCATTTTGTAAGTTTTAATATTAATACTGAGTTTTCTTAAATCTTATCACCTTTACTACTGATGATTTAATTGTACATTATCTCCTGTTCCCAACTACATATGTTAAGTGATATAGGTTTGTTAAAATCAGGTTAGTTGTGTTTGACACATCTAAAAATATGTTTTGTAGTACATTTAAGTTGGACATATTTTAATTATAGTATCATTATTTTTACTTTTTATTGTAAGAATCAGTTCATATGTTTACTGTCTGTACTATCCTGCTACTCAGATGGTTTTGCTGAATGTGTAAAGTTAAACAGTAATGTTTTATGATAATTTATCTCGGGTTTCAGGAGACTTCTTTTTAAAGTTACACTGTCCGAGCCATTTCTTGGGCTTCCTTTTGTCACAATATGTCATTAGGGGGGATTGTGTAAAGATTTGTTTTTAGAGATTTGAAGTTCTTGTAAGAACATTAAATCTACAACAGTACATGAAGTAATCAACTATTGTTGGTGTTCCACAAATTAAGAACATTAAATCTACAACAGTACATGAAGTAATCAACTATTGTTGTTGTTCCACAAATTCAGAACATTAGATCTACAACAGTATATGAAGTAAACAGCTATTGTTGGTGTTCCATAAATAAGAACATTAGATCTACAACAGTACATGAAGTAATCAACTATTGTTGGTGTTCCATAAGTAAGAACATTAAATCTACAACATTACATGAAGTAATCAACCATTGTTGTTGTTCCACAAATTAAGAACATTAGATCTACAACAGTGCATGAAGTAATCAGCTATTGTTGGTGTTCCACAAGTAAGAACATTAGATCTACAACAGTACATGAAGTAATCAACTATTGTTGGATGGAACACCAACAATAGTTGTTTACTTCATGTACTGTTGTATATCTAATGTTCCTACTTATGGAACAAGATCTAATGTTCTTACTTATGGAACACCAACAATAGTTGTTTACTTCATGTACTGTTGTAGATCTAATGTTCTTACTTCTACAACAGTACATGAAGTAAACAACTATTGTTGGTGTTCCATAAAAAAAGGTATTCTCTATTTCTTCACTTTCATCAACAGTATTAGTTGAAGTTTTTAATATATTTATTTTCATAATTTTTTATCATAAAATTTTTACTCTAGAAATAAGTTTGCATTGTTTGCATAGTACATGGATTTAGGACTAACCTAAATCTAAGCTGGCTGAACTTTTTTGAGATATTGGATTTATGGCCAAAAATATCACAAAAAATGAGAGCACCCAAGTGATGAAATAATGCATTATAATATTTGTAAGTGGAAAAATTTTAAAGATCAGTATATTTAATTAGCTATATTCATTTCCAAGTTGATTGTTAGGTTTCATCAAAGTGGGTAGGTGACTTTAATTGGAAGTTAATGTTAATCATTTTTAAATTTTAAGTATTAGTGTTCACAGTGATAGAAATTATGTTTTATAGAAATTATTACAAATGATATTTCTACATATTAATGTCATTCTTATATTAGAATTGTCTTTTGATCTAATGACTCATAACTGTAAAAGAAAAAAAAGGTCTTTGTAGAAGAGGATTACTTCTGAAAAATAATTTAAAAAATGCAACTAAAGCATTTTAAAATGCAAAAATGTTTAAAACAGCTGTATTAGAGAGTATTTATTGTCTGTGTTTTTGAACAAACCACCTTCATCGGACCCAAGAAAAGGAAGGAAGGTCTGGTTTTATGTATAGAAATAAAAACCAAGTTATTCCTTGATTGGTGAACCAGTAGGAAGTTGAATTTACAAAATTTATGTAAATGCTAGCTGTAGGATGACACTCTAATTAACTAAGAACTAATAATGTAAAGGAGTAAAAATGTAGAATAATAAAGCAATTAATACACATAAAAACCTTGTTGTCATGGGTAAGTAGAAGATACTTCTGTAAGCAAAACATTTCTCTTCAGACTTAAAAAAATACTTTATTGTGTTTTAAGATTAAAAAATACTAAAATTATTTATTATAGATGAAGAAGAGAAAGAGAGAAAAATCCACATAGAAATCAAACCTCTTAGTAATGGTGCTCCTATGAGTGCAAGTGTTGATGAACTCAGGGCAACTGTGGGCACTCTTTCCCTTTCTCCTTTGTCCCAGACTACAGTAAGTTTGCATTTATGAGAAGTGCTAATATTTATTCGTTAACAATTTATTAATTAAAGCAGGGTTATTTTTCAGGTGGTGATGTCTAAAGTAGTTTTTATTTTAGGTGATATAAGCTTAATCAACTTTATAGGTAATGTATTTCAATAGTTAGGTAAAAATATTTTCATATCCAAATAGCAAGTATTCTTATGTAGATTTCAGCTACAAGGTCATCAAAGATTGTAGTTGAATAATTTTCTTGAAGTATTTTTATAAAACTTTGAGTTCACTCACACTGTAATGTTTCTTTGTGATGCAAACAGTTTCAAACAATCAATTATAATAAGTAGATAGAGGAAGTAGAACTTGTCAAAACTTTTAGGAATGTTTAAGTGCTACTTTGTGGGTGTTTGAAATTAATAAGTAGTTGGTACTTATTACAGATACAGTTCAGTCTTTTTCACGTGTGCTAAAGTTTTAAATACTTGCAGAAAGTGTTTAGAAATGAAAACTTATTCTGGTACTTTTAAAAGGAAGATTTGTTACTAATAAAATCAGAAACATAAAAAATGACCTTATCATGATATTTAAAAACTTGCATGTGTCAGTATGCATTGGGTATATTACTGCAGCTACAGTTGGCTTGCTTTATAAATATTTTTTTGCATAGACTAACACTGGTACATTTAGAGCATGTTTTTAGTTGATTATAATTTGAAGCACACACACGCACACATTGTTTGTGGCTATTATTACCAGAAAATATCTTAATTGTGATGTGATTAATATTCATATTTGTTTTGAAGAAGCTGTTTGCTTCTTGTTGAAAAGATGTGTAGTTTGGAAAAATAATACCATTAGCATGCATGCAAATGTAATTAGTGGTATGTGATAAGAATTAGATGTATGAAGTGTTTGTTGCATTTTGTTTTTAAAGATTTGTCAGTAATTGAGATCACTGTAACTAGGCATATTTTCTTTAACTTATCATTTAATAATTACTTGAATCTGATTGTTACCTTCTAAGGTCCGTAGTTTCTTTGAAATGCTTCGATTCTTATTTATACTTAGTAAGTACAAGATGCAATTTGTCATTACTATTCAATAATTGCATACTTATCCACAGAGTTGCTTAGTGGTTTTTGCTTTTTGTTATACCGTACATCATACCCCGGTTTTCTTAATCAAATTTGATAGAGATAAACTGTAAATATGCTGTTATAAATTTATGAAAAATAAATTCACCAGCTCTATAGACCTGAGAAGATTGAAGTTGTTATACTTCCCCTTCATTATAGTCTGTTTATATATCTTTGTGCCTTCTTCCTGCTATATCTATGAGTTAATCATTTTGATCTTTTGCTTTTACGTCTTTTTTTACACATTCAGCAGAGCCATCCGGAGACTTTATATCTACGCTTAAAGGTACTTGTTTATCTGCACGCTGCTAATAAAATCTACAAAGCATGCTGTACATGTGCCAGTGCTTTTTTTTTCTCTCTCTCTCTCTCTACTTTGAAAAGGTATTTTTTTAGCTCTATCAATTTGTTTAGGAATAATAAAAATACTGTGCTTTTTAAGTGTATCAGTGTTAATACATATACAAATCCTCATCCATTATCATAGTGCATGAGGTTTAGTTAATAATCATCAAATATACTATTTATACTGTGATTTCAGTTCCAACCTTTGCATTCTCTGTTCTTTCAATTTGTGTAAACTTATCTCTTAATGAATGTCTAAACATGTTTATGTTTGTGCATTTCTTGGTAATTTTATTTTTGATGTTTTGATAGAAACTTGTGATTATTATTATTATTACTTAAAAATGAAAGACAAAAAGCTAATTTTGTAATACATGTTGAAATTTTGAACCAAAGTATATGCACGTATCTTTTCAATTATACAAGTAAACATGTTGATTTTTGTATTTGCTAATACATTTAGATGGTAATTTAAAAATGAATGCTACAACTATTAATACTGCAGTATATCCTCCAGTGGGTATGCAGTAACTTTACAGACATAAGTTCAAGGGTTTGATTAGTGGACGGAGAACAAATAGCCTATTGTATAACTTTGCACTGACACAACACACTACAGGTATTATTTGATTGTGTGTATGTCAGCCAAGATGGACATAATTTTGTTTTTATGCTTTTATAAAGTTTGATTCTAGTTCTGTTCTCATCACACAGCTATCTGTTTTTGTTTTTTTTCCCCTCCTTTAGAATAGACGTACATACAGTAGTGCAGCATCCACTCCAGAAGATGGTCCTATGAAGAGATCCATATCAGCTTCTCATCCTATCAGGTAAATATTTTTCTGCAGCTTTTCTTGGTCCACCTTATATTAAACTGAGTGTGTAATCAGCAGTGTGTGTAATGTAATGTTATTGATTTGTTGGGCACTTCCATTTCCCCCCCACATGAAATTTTTGGGCATTGGATTTATCGATCCCAGCCAAAGCATTGGGTCTACAGATCCATGTTGCCCTGAAGGACTTCCATCCCACAGGGACCATTTGTTTTGAGAATTGGTGTCATATGGATCTCCCTGTTTGCGGCTTTCTCAGCTTTTCCTGAAGGCTTGAGTTGATTACACACGAACCCATGATAGATTTACACATTCACTAATTATTTTTTCTCACAAAGCTTTTTCAACAAACTATTACCTATTTTTAGGTTAGTTGGACAGCCACATAGATTATAGTAGCTTTCAAGCATTCTCTTTTCCTGTTTGAATTATTTTTTGTATTGAGAGTTTTCAATATAAGAGTTTTCTGTTATTGTCCAGAATGTTTCATTTTGCATGTCAAATCAGTTAGAACTTGTTTGACATCCGTTATTTGTTATTGTTTTTCACTTTAACTACTTGAAAGATCAGTTAGTGACAAAAACAGTCAACATTGCTGCAAAACTCATGTATACATGCATGGTATATAAGAATACCATGCATTTTTTACCTCCTTATTTTAATATTTTTTTGGAACTACTCAGATATATTCTGCATATATGCAGCTTTCTCATAAAACGTGGTCAAAAAGTCTTTAAGTTGCTTTTATTCTAGCTGCCTTTATTCTTTGTCATTCTCTTAAGGTAACACCTGCTCTGCTCATAGGAGGTATGGCTAGAATGTTTTACATTGTGTACAATGAAGGTTGACAGCAGTGTCCTCCAATGGCAGATCTGGTGATACTTTAAGGTTACGACCTCTCTTATGTTTAAACTGAAAATGACTAGTCATATTGGTAGCACTAGTTGCTCTGGGTAAGTCTAAAATTACTGAGTCAAGTAAGTAATGCTAGGTTTAAAATAGTCAAGTGTACAATCTCGAATGACGCAATTTGGATAGAAAATTGCTTACTCTCCAGTAAAAGTGACTGTAGTCAAACTAGCAAGTCCACAAACTGTGTTAGTTTAGATAATATAGATTGTTCATTTGTGCTCTATCTTGTGACAAGTCTATTTATCTACTTCTCACAAACTTATTTATTCAGAGAAGTACAGAATTACTCTGTAATAGACATCTTGTTGAATCCTGTTATTCAACAAGAATTTCCTGTTATTCGACAAACCTATCCCATCGCTCCAAGAAAAATTAGTTTGACCTGAATACACCACACCTACAGAAATATCAAATCATTACAAGTCTGTTGTACACAACAAAATTGGATATTTTGATCAAGTATTTTAACTAAAGATTTGTGTGTGAATTTATGAAGTTTTTACTGGATCAGTGCGAGTGAAAGGTGATTTTCATGTTAAGAATAAAAATACTTATTTTCATCTTACAGTTTTCATATTTCATTTGCTTACCCTCTGGAACCTCCTAAATTAACAAGAAAAGTTTGTTTTTTTTCAATAAAACTATATATTTTATCTCATTTTCTCTACCCTAACACTAACTGTAGTGAAATCATCAATGTACAGTGAAGTAAAAAGTTTCAAAATATGAAATAAATAAACACTACCCTTTTTCTTCTTTGAATGCATAATTGATTCAAGATTTTGAAATCACTTATATTCAAAATTTCAACTGTTTCACCCTTTCACATCTGTTTTCTTTATGGTTTTATTGCCTGGCTTGTACCACAGAAGCAGCTTATTCGTGAGTGAAAAGCAGGAATGCATTAACAATTTCTTTTAACTCGCATGTTGTTTGTATGTGAACTGTACAAATTTTGCACTGATATGGGCATTTCTCTCTCTCTCTTCTTTTTTTTTTCTTTTTTTTTGTTTACTAAGTTTGTTTTAAAAAAAAAGTTAGTGTACCTATCAAATACACATTTCAGAACACAGAAAAACATATTGATCACTAGAATGTCCCAAGACTACTATAATTTATGTGGCTTTCTAACTAAGCTATAAATAGTTTAATAAAATTCCATATCTGCTCAGAGCAACAGCTTTGCACAGTGTATATCAACTACTTCTTAACTACCATCTTTCACCACTTAAAATATAGAAAAGATCATAAAATGTATGTAGATTAGAATCTGCTTTTTTCTGTTGTTTGTAAATGGATTCATCAGCAATGTACACTTATTACATAATTGTCTTGGAAGGACAGAAGAAAGGGGGCTTCTCTGGTAGGTTTGACAAATTTTTTGATATCTCAGCAAATCAAGAATACAGGAGGTTAAAATTTTGTATTTTTGCTTTTAATTATATGTTGTTGTTTTTTCTAATTTGTTAGATGCTGTAGAAGATCCATTACTGAAATTATAAAACCTCAAGGAGAGAATTCTTAACACAGACAGGCCTCAGGTGGTTAGGGCGCTCAACTTGCAATCTGAGGGTCGCGGGTGCAAATTACCGTCCCGACAAACATACTAGCCCTTTCAGCCATGGGGTGTTATAATGTGATGGTCAATCCCACTATTCATTGATAAAAGAGTAACCCAAGAGTTGGCGTTACACTGCTAAATTAGGGACGGCTAGCACAGATAGCCCTCTTTTAGCTTTGCGCAAAATTCAAAACAAACAAACTTAACCCAATGTTAAGTTTGTTATTGAAATACATTGGTAATAAAGTTGTTTAATTAAATTTTGAAAGTAACTCTGTAAAATGTTGTGACGTGCACTTTGACCTTGCCATACAGTAAGAAGTAAAGCCTCTTATTTTGTTACAAGACAGCTATTTACACTTACTCACTTATGAAACGAAACAAAATGTATTTATTATAATATTACTGAATTATCACACAACAGTAAAAGACTAGCATACACTATTAAAAAAAAATTCTGAAGCTATTTACACTTACTTATGAAACTAAACAAAATGTATTTATTATAATATTACTGAATTATCACACAACACTGAAAGACTAGCATACACTATAAAAAAAAGTGTGAAAAAATTGTTGTGTCATGTTTTTTGCTACACCAAAGCTCCAAGTTTCAATTGATTTTCAAGGCCAATAGGTATTTACAATGTCTCAACATTTATACCATTACATTCCTCATAAACAGAGCTTCCAAATGATATTTGGTGCACAACAATATCATCTAACAGAGCTGAGATAATGGTTAATTTTATGAAGGTTACAAAAACCAAAAACATGATAGTCACTTTCAAATGTTACACTTTTTATGACTATAGCCTAGAAACCATAAGGAAATTTTAACCCTATCACAACCAGTGATCACCTCTTGGGTGTCAAATGAACATCTGTGTATCTTCTTTCAAAATTTAAAGATAAATATTAATTCTAACTTTATTTCAATTATATTTTATTCAGAAAATATTTTAGAATTGATATTTTGTAACTTTGCAACATCTATTGAGAGTATTACAAATTTTAAAAAAATTAGCATGTTTGAACTTTCATTTCTGTTGAGCTCCAAGGAGTTCTTCCTGTAAACATGTTTATTGATTTGTTTTTAATAATTTTTCTACACACCCCCAAAGTAAAGGCTTATATTAGCTTAGTAACTATTGTCTCTTGGTAATATAATTACCCAAGTTTTGTTTTTCATTTGATTTTTCCTTCTCTGTTAGTGATTTTATAACAATAGGCCTTAATACCATCCTTTTATGATGTCAACATGTGATCTGAATAGATACTGATGAATCAGAGGTCTGAAATTACCTATAGACAGCATTTAAATACAGTTGCATAGAACAAATTATAAACTAATTATGTCAATGTAGAGTAAATAAAATAGTTTGAGCAATAATTTATGGTTCGTGGGAAAATTACTAGACTGAGCTCCTGCATGGGTGAACAAAGGAATGTAATGGGAAACAAACCACACATTGGGATATTTTTAAAATATTCTTTAGACATTATTTTAATGTTTTTGTGTTAAATTATATTTGTTTGAAAGCTAATGAAGTTAGTTTTAGCGAGCACAGTAGGTGATAACAATACTCTAAGGACTCAAATACTTATTATTGTTAATTTTATAACAACCAAGAATATTGTTAGAAAAAATCATGATACCTCTTAAACCTAATAAAGGTGATGGTGCCACCATTTTGAAGATCAATTCGTATGTCACCAATAAATTTTTGCCTTTATTTTTGGTGGTGTTTTTTACAATTTATAGTTGGAAGTGGTGACTACTGCAGTTGACAAAATACAGAATCAAAAGTATGTTAATGAATATTAGTCAAGTTGAATCTCACTGATTATATAAAATTGAATGTTCTTATGAACAATAAAAACATTGAAATTACAAAACAGAAACTGCTTAGATTAAATAATTGTATTTGTGTTTAACGTCAGATAGTTTATATTCTAGTTTTTTTTTAAATATATATTTAAAATGTATGTTGCAAATGTTAAAGCATTGTTTAGTTGCATGACGAAAGATAAGACAAGAAAGGATAAAGCTCACAAGGAGAAACAAAATGTTGCATACTGAATGTCCTTATAATTTATTTCATCAAATATAAATTCTTACATTAAGAGTCTCCAAATAAAAATTTCTCTTACTAACTTCATTATTTTAACTTGTCATAATTTTGGAGATTAGTTTATTAAATTTATTGCATGTTTGTTTTTTGTCATTAAATGCCACAGTGCATTAAGAAATATTTGCAAAGAGAATCCATTTTTCATCACTGGTGACAATTCTGTCCAAAAATGGTTCACACATATTACGTGCCAAAAGAGATGAGGCAACGTTCATACATTGGAAACAGTGATCATCAGAGAGTTCGTGAGACACCCAAACACCTCCTTTATGGAGTTTCCCATATTCTTTAGATGTTTGCACATTGTTTCATGAGAGAAATGCAATTTCAGGGCTATTTCATGAGTGTGTTGCCTTGGGTTAGACTCAACAAGTGTCGTCGGAGCATCAATATCAATTCCAACATGTCGGCCTCTTCCATCGTAGTATTTAAGGCTAAAATCACCTGAACGAAATTTGCTGAACCATCGTTGACACTTACGAACGTTCAAAACATTTCCATAAACTTCTTTGATATTCTTTGTGGCTATATAGACGTTGTTTCCCTTCTTGTATTTAAACAGCATTACACGCTGAATGTGTGTCTCGTCATGTGCCATCATTATAAGGGATTAGAGTATACTGAACTTTACACATTATTTAGGCTACACTAATGTGACATTTAGGTGGTTCGTTTAACTATTATAGGTGATGTACGTTTTTTGGGGGTGGTTAATGAAAGTTTTCCAAAATGCGACATTAATTTCTGGAAGACCTAATAATTTGCACTTCTAAGTATCAAAAAATGGCCTCAAAACTTTTTTTTCCTTCCAAAATCCATTATTGTGAGATGGTTTCCTGATAACAGTTCATGAAACTCAATATTATGAAAAATAAAGCTGGAAGGAATTATTCCTGTGCTAATTTGGAAAATCTGTTAACGTCATTACTGCTTCTTAAGCTACATTAACTAGGTTTCTTTTGGTAACTTTTGATATCCGTTATATTTAAGAAAATACAAAATATGTCCAAAAATGCATAATTTTATTGAATTTAGGAACAGTGTTTTATGCATAAAAATTTTTATCATTAAATGCTGCAAAAAAGTGAATGTAACTTCACTGGTAAAAAATTGACGATTAAAAAAGTGTAGGTATTATATATTTTTATTATAAGTGTCATTGTTTTGTATTACAGCAAAGGAGATAGTGACATTTTAAGTTTTTCCACACCAAATGCATCCAGTGCCTCTACTCCGACAGGAACATCTGGTAGAATGCAGAGTCCTTTAAGTTTCGGTAGCACGAGCATTGGTCCAAGTGCTGACACAACACCAACTGTTGATAGATATGCGGGTAATATATTTGTAATGTTTGTAGTATTTACTAGTTTGTATTTTGATACAACTAGAACAGGGTACAACTGTTTTTTTTTATTATTATTATTATTATGTATCTGTATACTGACTCATACTTGACATATTAATATAAGTGAATTGTTTAATATTTTTGATGACGCTTCTTTATTCATATGTCTTTAACTTCAGCCCTCAGTGAACTGTTCTCAGAAGCAGCACACAATAGTGTATCCACTTCAGAACCAAGCCAAGTTCCATCCAACAGTAGCAGAGTTAGTACACCTACAAGTTCAATAGGCCCTCCTCTGTCAGCATTACCTAGGCCACCATCAAGAAGAGCTGTGGAGGCAAGTAATATATGAAATATTTGTTGAATACTTTTAAATTCTTCTTGCCCTCAGTTTTGACATCTTTGTTTCGTACTTCTTTGAAATGAAGTGTGTAATGTTGAAGTAAAGAAGTGCTCAAAACATATATATAAATAAATGCTTAATGTGTGTATATATATATATATATATATATTTAAAAGAAATGTTATACATTAATATTGTCTTTTTGGAATTTGTTGCCATATAGCAATAAGTAACCCATTCTTACTAAGCAGTTTCATAAAGAAACACTTACTGAATTTATCAAAAGCTTAAGTTCATCATTAAAAACATCATTCATTCACAATTATTTCTTATATAGAATTTCAGTGAACACATTTTTCTCTTAAAAGAGGACTGGCAGAATACTCAGTGACTGAAAATCACTGTCAGAGTTAGTCTTGAAGTAGTATCTCACTGAAATACAAATGGAATTTTTTTAAATCATTCTCGGGTCAATGGGATCAATAGAACATTTAGATTTTGTCCAAATAATTTGCTGTTGTTTGTGAAAAAAATAATACAATGATTATAAAAAGTCATTTAGCATGTTAAACAATGCTTAACTATAAGATAATTTCATGCAAATTATGTTTCTATTTTATTATTTTAATTTTTTTACAGTATTATTCTGAAGGGGGGGGGGGGATCTACTACTGAAAAAAAAAATAACAAAACACCAGAGTTTCCTTAGCATTTATCATAATTTGAACTAGTTTTTAACAGAAAAACAGTACTTCATGAGAAACTAAAATGTTTAAGCAATACAGTTTGAAAAGTTGAAATAAGGAGATCGGATATTCTATGAGCATGATGAAGTAAAATGATAGTGTTATGAATATGATTTAAGAGATGGATTTGAAATATTTAAGAAGTGTTTTCATGTTTGTGGCTTTGTTTTATTCTTCTTCCATGTTCTATAATGCATAAAATGAATTTTATTTAACCTGGTGATACTGTTAAGGTAAATCCAAATAACCGTTTTATTATTGCATTTATCTTGGTCTGTTTTTTTACTTCTTTATTTACTTTTATATATATATATATATATATGCATAGATTTATATTATTTATAATCACATACACAAAAATATAAAAATAAAAAGACCAAGACAAGCACAATAACAATAAAGTGGTCATTCAGAGTGACTTTTATTACCTGTAATATCTCATGTAGTTCATCATATTTTTAATCATGAAGCTCTTGAAACGCTAGAAGAAATATCCTTCATTTAAAGTAGTAATGTATTTTGTCTTGCAGTATGTATAACATGTATGGTATATCTTACAACATATACTAAACTAGCTTATGTGCATCATCGAAAGGTATTGCTTAGTAATCTTGTATGTTGATGAAGGTGAGCCTTCTCTGGACATACAATTTCTTATTGCATATATTAAATATGAACAACATGCATTAACGTTTTATACTAAAAATATTTTATCTCTTTGAAATGGATTAGTGAATTTGTAGGATATCAATAGCTCCTGATGTAGCTTTAATAGTGACATAATAAGCTAATAAAGATACGTTCTGGAGATATAGGTTATTTTATTTTCCTTAACCCTCTCCAGATGGGTCAAAGGCATTGACTTGCATTCAAAATTTTATTTTACTACCATTACATGAATTTATGTCAATAAGTTTGGTATCAAATTGTAGCTTATAATTCATATTTTAGTATTATACATTATTTAATTTCTTAATTTAAAATTAAATATTAAAAAAAATAGTTAAACATCAATTTTTGTGTGTCACGTGGTATGTTGAATGCAGCACTGGTTCAAATTAGATGTTTATGATGTCAAAATCCAAAGTCTGTAGTTTCGTATGAATTAGGAAACTAAAATTACAGATATTGACAAGCTAGAATAATAAATAAGAACCTCGTATCTTTTCTATTTGCTGAGATATCACTCATGTACTGAATCAAACACAGTGGCCCTGCTCACCTCTTTCCATTATTGGAAACAGTCCCTTATATACACTTACTTCAATATATGACATGTAAATAACCAATCAAAAGCTCAGAATGCCCCCCCTAGAGGCTTTCTACGCTATTCTAAATTGTTAGGATTCCATCTTGTTCTTTCAAACCAAGATTTCAAGGAGGTAAGGTTGTGTTATCAATCTGCTTGAAATTTTATATTTTTTAAACCGAAATACAGCTTAGTTACTAAGTTTGATAAATTATAGTGGAATTCTCTGGTATCGATATAGTAATTTATGATTTTTTGGTTATTCAACTGTATATATATAAAACCTAAAAAAATTGTTTCATTTCATATCCTCCACGTGCGAAATTTTAAAAGGCTTAGCAACCTTTGTCAAGCAGCAACCGAGTACAAAGGTCGTAACTAGAAGAAATAATTGTTTGCTTTACTTCTTTATTTACTGTTCTATGTTTTAAGAAAGATAAGTAAGAACTTATTTGCATAATCTGTAATGTATAATAATGGAAATGTGACTGTATTTTACAAAATACTAGTCTACTAAAACACAGCTAAGACAGGTCACTTTGTAAAAACTAAAAGTCAGTGTTATATTATTGGATACGGTAACATGAGAGCACTTGTGCTGCATCGTTGTAACTTCTGTATTGCTAGCCAGGCATGGCTGAAAGGTCAATATAATCAAAATATATACATGTATAATGTTATGAGATTTAAGCTATTTAGTCTAAATATTTATGTTTTTGTGTTATAATTTGTTGTCATTCTGGTTACAAGATCAGTCAAATCTACCAAACCCATACAAAGATTCGTTAATGAAAATAGCAGAAAAAATATAAAGTTTTTTCTTAAGAAACATTTAATAACTATTTGGACATTTTAATCTTAAAATTAAAATTACTTTGCATGTTGGATATGCAACATGCAAAAAAGAAAAAAAAGACATGAAAAAACATTGCTTAACAAATCTTAAGACTTAATATAGAAAAAAAATTGTATTTTGCATACAAAAGCATTGTGATGTTTACTGATAATCTGCCAAATTTCTTTAACATACGACTTACTAATTTGAAAGTTATAGCATGAAAACTATAACAAGCACAAAATGGTTATGAGGTCGGTCCCATGCTGAAAGAGTTAATAGAATATCTCGTAACAAACTCCAGTTTGTGTTAAACAGAGTAATAAAAGTATTTATGTATTTGCATTTTTACCACATGGGTCACATTGTTGCTTGTTTTTTTCTTATCCCCCTCGTTTTTTATTGTTTTTTTACCATATTAAGAATGTAAGGATCATAAACATGTATTGCTGATATATTGATAGAATTCAACCAGAGGAAGAATGTCACCATCCCCTATGCCCAGAGCAGAGAGCATAGGTAGTTTAACAAGTGATTTTAAAACAACTTCAATGCCTGTTGGATCTTCCCGTGGACCTTCTCCATTGACTATTGGAATATGTGATACAATTCCTCTAGCTGTAGCCTTCCAGGAAGTGGTTCATGCATACTTCAAGGGTACTGATGAGACAAAGTATGTTGTTTATAGTAATGAAATTATTATCTTAATTGGGTTTTGCCTCAATAATTTGTTTATATTTTTATTTTAGAACTATGCATTGAATGCAAATACTTTATACAGTTTTTATATTTTTTTATTTGAACATCAGTGTAACAGAAATGTACAGTATTTTCAGAATTAACTTTTTGCTAACATTTATGTGCAAGAAAAAGTATTATTAAAAGATATAATTGTGTAACACATTTAAAAATTTCCTTCCTTGTTATTGAGTCAGAAATATTTTTTGATACGAGTTTCTTTTATGGTGACATTTATTTACTAAAGCCATCTTCCAATATTTAACTTTTATCTAGTATTTGTAAAAGGAAGATGTAAAAAGAGTGTTAAATTTGATTCACACAAATAATGCTTGTAATATCTTTAAAATTTAAAACTGTTTTTATGTTTAGACCAACGTTTTTAACCCAACAAATAAATCGGACCTGGGCAATATTCTTTGAAGACTAGAATTTGAAATGAAACCAGTTGAATGAGTCAAATAAAATATTATGAAATGACTCCTGAATTTAATTAAAGAACTTCCAGAATACCCTCTAAAATCATGAAAAACGTGTATGTAAACTTGCTTCTGTTGTTTGTGATAGAAGTCTTCTCCAATGAACATTTATTTAAAAAGAAAAGAGAAATACTTGAAATAAAGTTTACGTCTTGAACTACCCTCTGTTTGACACTGATATACTACTGAAGGTACCTTGAAATAATTGTAAATGTAGTTACATTTTTTTGGAAATAATCAGTTTCAGACTTTATAAGGAAAAATACAAAAATATATACGTTAGGTCTACTTAAAAAAGAATGTATTAGTGAATAAGTAATTTGTAAGCTTATACACTTAAATTACACATTTGTTAAAGATTTATGAGAAATACTTCTAAACACTAGCAAAGAGAATGAAAGGAAGATTGAAAAAATACTCATTTGTGAAGAATCATATGAGAGTATGCAGAGAAAACAAACAAAAAGCATCCCATGGAAGTCTAACACTATGTGTTCTATATCTTGTTACATTATGTGCAAGTAATTGAAGGTAAAAGCTGACCAATAAACGAAGAGGATTTAGTTCATTAAATTTATCTAAAATTAGTTGTCTTGAATTGTCATATGTTTGAAAACATATTTCTTTAAAATAATACATTGTATTGAGATGTAAAATATGTGAACTTGTGTGTACATAAATGTAAGGCAGTATAATATATAGCAAAAACATTGATCTTGTTTTCCCAAAGATACCTGAAGAACATGTAAGATTAATAAGTAGATAAAATACACTGAAGTACATGCGATGACTTAAAACACCTTTGGAAGGTAAATATTTTAATTAGCTAATGTAATTTAGTGTGCAAGATGCAGACAGATAATCTTACATGCCAGTTCTGTATGTTTATTCTTAAAAAGATGTTCTGTCTGAGTTTTCTTATGTTTTATTACGAACAGTGAGGATTTTAAAATTTAATTGAACAAAGTTTCTGGAGCAAATATAATTCCGGTAATTTGTAAAGCAATAATAGAAACAAACTGTCGAGTACATTACTAAACTGCTCAAACGGCAGATTAATATTTGACGAGGGAACCTCAGTATTTCTCGAAATTTCTGAAACACTTCAGAATCTTTAATGCAACTGAAAAGAAATCTTACTGCCAAAATGTTTCACTACTTCAGTGCAGCTTCCTCAATTTATAAAAGAAAAAAATATGGTTTAGAGTGAAGTAGATAATTAATATTCAGATCAGAACAAGCTATATACATAAGAGAAACTAGCAGTCAGTATAGTTGATTTAATATACTTTAATTTCATTTTAACTTGTAAAGATTAAAATGAATTGTTTTATCATTTGGGTATCCTTGATGTTAACAATATTTTGGGGCATAATGCCAGTAATGTCTCATAAGGTTTGGCCAGCTTAGGAGATTTGGGTTAGAACATATTTTAAGCTAACAGAAGAAAATTTCTATAATATAGGTGTAATAATTACAAATTACTGACATTCAATGTTATAAACAGTATAATCAGTACTGTCAAAGTAATAATGAATGGATAATATACTATTATTTACTTAGAGAACACAGAACTGCTAGCTGTTGGAATGAGCTACTGCCATAGAAGTAAATTACTTTGAAAAATGTCACCTAGTGTAACACACTTGATTTTTCTGTAGTTCTGTCTGACATATCTCTTAACCATTAAAAACTCATGAAGCGATTCCTACACTCTAACATCAGAGAAAAGTGGCATCTGTGACAAATTTATGACAACATGTTACTGTTTAAACTGTGTCAAGTCAGTAGCAATAATAGTACAAACAAAAATTAATGTTTATGAAAATATAAAATAATAACTGTGCATTAAAATATAACAGTGGCATAGGATTTATTTTCAATTGTCTGAGTGAAGCTTAAGTTTTTTTGAGGATTAATATTTGGCTAGTTGAAGTCCTGCTCAACACTCAACTAAATAGTGTTTGTGAAATATAAGATATTGAACAGTGATTAGTTCATTATACAATAATTATGGAAGTTACGGCTTGGATAACACAAGTTTACAAACATTGCAGCTTTGTATTTTTTATTTTGTTCCGAATATGACTGTAGTAATATCCTTATATTATGCATTTTATTTCAGATGTCAGGTGCGTCTCATGGGAGATGTGAAGGTCTCATTTCCTGCTGGCATAGTCCAAGTCCTTGCCAACAATCCTAATCCAGCTTCCCTGTCATTCCGTATATCCAAAACTGGAAAACTGGAAAATATTTTGCCAAATAAGCAATTAATTTTACAGTAAGTAATTTTAAAAGAGGGGGTTAGGCTCTTAATTGACTTTACGTTTTTCTATTTATGCTTCTGATTGCATCTTAAGTTGTCAAAAAATTGATAGATTTATCTGCAAGCCATGAACTTAGTGATATTAAAGTGGCAAGTAAATTGTTTCTATCTATCAATTTATCATTGAATACATATAAAATAAGCATTGCCATTGTCCATCCTAGTTGTCAACTTGTCATCATAACATATAATGCCTATAGTAATAGCACCCTAATGTGTAGGGGATATCCCATCTATCAGACAATATCCAAACCAATGACAAACTAACCATCTATCATAGAAAGTCAATTAAGAGTATGGAGCTGAGTTCTTACACCCACAATATTTCAACTCCTACTGCCTTTTGCTGTCTACAGCCAGTTGTGGGAAGGTAGTTACCCTTAAAGTTCCTAAAGTAGAAAGGAAACCACCCTAAAATTTTTACTACAGAGGAGGCTGGATATATAAGAAACGATTAAGGTAGGGTTTGTAGTTCTCTTTAAGATCATTTAGTTCTGTTTAACATCTTTTTGTAAGGGCAGAGGTTGGGAGTTTCACATAGTAGAAATTTTAGGGTGGTTTCATTTCTACTTTAGGAGTAACTGCTTTACCCCCACTTGGCTGCAGACAGTGAAAGGCACTTAGCTCCATACTCTTAATTGACTTTCCATGATAGCTGGCTAGTTATATCATTTGGATATTGTCTGATAGATGGGATATACCCAACACATTTGGGTGCTATTACCACAAGCATTATCTGTTATGACATCAAGTTGACAACTAAGACTGACAATAACAACACTTATTTTATATTACGTTCATTATTGTTTTATAGTGCTGAATTAATTGGTTATTAATAATTAATGTAAAGGCCCAGCATGGCCAGGTGGTTAGGGAGCTCGACTCGCAATCTGTAGGTCGCGGGTTCGAATCCCCGTCACACCAAACATGCTCGTCCTTTCAGCCGTGGGGCGTTATAATGTGACGATCAATCCCACTATTTGTTGGTAAAAGAGTAGTCCAAGAGTTGGTAGTGGGTGGTGATGACTAGCTGCCTTTCCTCTAGTCTTACTCTGCTAAATTAGGGACGGCTAGCGCAGATAGCCCTCGTGTAGCTTTGCACGAAATTCAAAACAAACAAATTAATGTAACTAATAGTATTAGAGCTATCTATTCATTTATATATATATATAATATTAAAATTTGTTAAAGAAAACTTTGGAAAAATATTTTATTTTTGTAATTGTGTTAGAAAACACCAATAAACTGACAAAGATCAAGCACTCAAATGTTCCAAATATTCTTCACAATATTTGGAACATTTGACAGCTAGATCTTTGTTAGCTTGTTGGTGTTTTCTCATTTCCCAATATTTAGTGGCTGTAAGTTTTTCTATTGAAATGGCTCAAATAATAACCATGTTTGTTATAAAAGGGTTTAAGTCT